CCTCCACTTTCCCAAGCCTGATGTCCTCTCCAGGGACTGGTCTCTCCTGACCACTTGTCTAAAGTATATAAGACGAAATCTCACCATCCTTGCTTCTAAGGAGCACCCTGGCCGTACTTCTTCCAAGACAGGTTGATTTTTCCTTCTAGCAGTCCATGGTCATTTCAATATTCTTCTCTAGCACCCCAATTCAAATGCACCGATTCATCTTCAGTCTGCCATATTCTGAGTCTAACTTTCATATGCAAATGAGGCAGTTAAAAATACCATGGCTCTCCCTGGGGGACGGAAACAGAAAAGTGGGTGAAAGGAGACATCGGACAGTATAAGATATGACAAAATAACAATATAAATTATCAGGGGGCCATGAGGGAGAGGGGAGCAGAGAGGAAGGGGGAAAAATGAGCGGATTCCAAGGGCTCAAGTAGAAAGCAAATGTTTTGAGAATGATGACGGCACCAAATGCCGGCACAAGTGCTTGACACAATGGACGGGTGGATGGATGGATTGTGATAAGAGTTCTACGAGCTCCCAATAAAATGATTAAAAAGAAAAATACCATGGCTCAGGTCAGACACACCTTAGTCCTCAAAGTAACCTCTTTGCTCTGCAACACTTTGAAGAGGGCTGTGCACCATTTGATCTCTGTACTGCTGCTTCCTTGAGCGTTGATTGTAGATCTAAACAAGATGGAATTCTGGACGACGCTGACAGTGTCTCCAGTTATCATGATGCTACCCGTTGGTCCAGTTGTGAAGATTTTGATCTTCTTTACACTAATCATAATCCGTACTGAAGGCTGCGGTCCTTGTTCTTCATCCGCAAGTGCTTCGGTCCTCCTCACCTTCAGCAAGCCAGCTTGTGTCATCTGCACATCACACATTGTTATTAGCCTTCTTCCAATCCTGAGGCCACATTTCTCCTTCCTACAAGCCAGATCCGTTGATGATTTGCTCAGCATACAGATTGAATAAGGATGGTGAGAGGATACAGCACAGACACACACCTTTCCTGATTTTAAACCACGCAGTGGACCCTTATTCACAACTGCCTCCTGTACAAGTTCTGCAGGAGCACAATGAAGTGTCCTGGAATTCCCATTTTTCTCAAGGTTCTTCATAGTTTATGATCCACACGGTCAAGTTCCTTGGCATTGTAAATAAAACACAAGGAAACATCTTTCTGATAGTCTTTGCTTTGAGCTAAGGTCCATCTGACATCAGTAATGATAACCCTTGGTCCACGTCCTCTTCTGAATCCAGCCTGAACCTCTGGCCGCTCCTGTCAGTGTACTGCTGCAACCATCATTGGGTGACCTTGAGCACAGTTTTGCTTGCATGTGATGTCAGTTTTCTACGGTATTGTTCTAGAATCTGAGCGCTCTGTTGGGCCACCTCTCTTTGGAATGGGTACAGATTTGGCTGTCTGCCAGTCAGTTGGCCACCCTGCTGCCTTCCACCTTTCCTGGCGCAGACGGCGAGTGCTTCCAGGGCTCTGTCAACTTGCTGACACATTTCCTTTGGCGCCCCAGCCAATCCTGGAGCCTTGTTTTTGGCTAATGCTTTCCGTGCAGCTCGATCTGGAACAAAGGTTTCTTTCTTTTCCTGGAGCTCACCCTCCTGCTCAGCTGTCCCTCAGCACTCTTTAGGAGGCAGGCTTTTCTAATCCTTGTACATTGACAACATTCTTTAAAAAAACAGGTCATTTTTAAATGGCACCTTGGCTAGGTACCTGTGGTAGTTATGTAATCTTTTGTCAATTTGAGAGGATTACAAGTGAAGGGGTAGCGTTTAGCCTGTCAATTAGGTTGCAGCTTGATGACCTCCTTTGGAGGCACTGAGGAGATAAATAGCTTGCTAGAGGCAGGACGCAGACTTACTCCCTGGGAGACATTGCAGCTGACGAGCTGGAGGAACCATGTGGAGACCACGCCAGCGCTGAGATGCTTCCAATGCCACTGGATCCACAAGACTTCTCACCCATGGGCCTGTGATCTTCCTGCATTTGGCATCATTGCATGTGTTTCATGAGTCTGAAGAGAACTTTATGGATTGGTATCAGATATATGGGCTAATATCCGACTTACAGACTTGATCTGGACTGGGCTGGGATGTTTTCTCAATATCCAATTGCTCTTGTATATAAAGCTTTCCTTATACACATAAGAGACACATTTGTTTCTCTGGTTTGCCTGGACTAACACAGGACCAGACTCCATGTTCAAAGCCATGGTCCATCAGTCCTTTGAGAAAAGTGCTCTCGGGTCCTGCACTCAGCGTTGTTGACCTTCAGCAGCTTCTCCTGCTCTTGTGAGGAAGCTGCCTTTTCTTTCCGGCAGCCTGCGGTCCTCCCTTTTTACTTGATAGTCCAGAGCCTCCCTGCCAGGTTGTTCTTGGTGCTCGCTGGGTCCTGTCAGCCTGAGATTTTGTATTTGCAGCTCTGCACCGTCCTGGTTAATCTCCGTGCAAATATCACCCCCTCCCTCTCACTCTCTTTGAACTGGTGCGGGCAGTCCCCAACAGCGGCATTTGGTTCTAATATTCCCACTGTGAGCCGGTACTGTTATCAGTCAAATACCTGCTTTTTAGTCTTCCTTTTTTATTGACTTTCACTACCAGTATCTTTATAAACCCAATCTTTGCCTTTGCAGCTTGGAAACCTTCAATAGGAACTTCGAGTGTGAGACCAGCAACTGCAGGCTGCAGCACTGTCGTGCATGCCTTGCACTGTAAGACGCACAGAGCAAAGCCCCTGCCCTAAGTGCCGTGTGCTGGAAGGGGAAGAGGCCTCGTGTTGGGGGCGACCTGCATTAGGAAAATGTTGAGGTTCTGGAACGGCCCCTCATACCCTTGCATCTTCCGCGATTGTTGGGCGCTCTAGGCTCAGTTCTGGCTCATCACAACCGAAACACTGCCCGGTCCACATGTTGCCTGGAGAAGGACATGCGTGGTCAAGTGGAGGGGCAGCGAAGGAAAGGATGGCTTCCACGAGATGGATGGACAGAGTGGCTGCCACCACGGGCTCAGAGCCAGGAACCACTGTGAGAACAGTGCAGGACCGGTGGGGTGACATTCTGTTGTGCACGGGTCGCTGTAGCTGGAACCAGCTCAGTGGCTCCCAGGAACAACATTATCTCTGTCTACCAGGGCTCGTGCTCTTTGATGGATTGGGCTGTACTCTCTCTGGAAGATGGGGGCTCTTCTCATCTGATTGGTTGTTTGCTCCCTGTCTGGGGGTCTCCTGGTGCCCGAGGGCTCCTCCACACCTCCTTTCTCTCCATTCCCCAGAAGATCCTGTCTTGTTTTTAGATTCAGCCACTTTACAACTTCTCTCTCTCTCTGGTCACTGGGGAGTTTGTGTCCTGGGAAGGAGTGTATCCCATTCTCCACCTGGAAACCAGCAATTCCTTTGATAAAATGCGGCGTGGTCTTTAATGACCACTTTCCCTTGGGGGCTCTGTGGTGCCTGGGGGCATCCAGCCAGCCTGGGTCCCCACTGTGCTGCCCACCTGACGTGTGGCCTTGAATGCGCCACGCCTTCCCTTTGTGGCTCAGGTTCACTCTTTGTAAATTGGGGGGATCAAGGCGTGTCACGGGGAACCCTGGCCAGGAGCAGATGAGAAGATAGCCTGGGCCCTTGGAAAACACACCATGTGTGGGTGGCACAGGTCCTGCCAAGGGACGCCACGCTAGGCAGAACGGACTTTAAACCATGACAGTGGGTTTAGGCGGAGGTTTGGAAAGCCCTGCTGTTTTGCATGGAGCTAAACAAAGATCTAGACTGGGGTGCCACCCGGCTGAAGGACCAGCAGGCTGTCAGGCCAGTGGTGAACGGTGACCGAGGAGGGGGCAGCCCAACCTGCCCCCGCTGCAGTGTGCCTGCCGTCTCCCCAGCCTGCTGGAACCATCACTGACCCTACTGGAGGCTGCCTGCTCTCACCAGACCACAGCCAGGAGGGCAGGGGAGGCCTGGCTGCTACAAGCCCTGCTTCCCCTGAGCTGGAGACCCCCAGGCGGAGGGTAGGGAGGCAGGAGCTCGGTAAGTGGGAGAGACCCCCAGGCCAGGGCTCTAGCTGCCTGACCTGGTTGGTAGGGAGCCGGTCAGAGGCCAGAGCAGGCCAGGGGGCCCCAGGGGGTCCTCCCCACCCTCTACCATTTTTGCTTTCCTAGCTCACAATCCACTCAACTCCTGCAGGGCCCCTCTCCCCAGAGTTCAGTGCATGCTGGGGGCCACCAGGGGCAATTGAATCATCCTTGTCTGGCCAGAGCCCCAACCACCCTCAGCCCCACCCAACACCAAACCATCTGTAGCCCCCCACCCCTTCCCAAGGCTGAGACAGAAAGGAGAAAAGAGTGCCAATCACTGAGTTGTCCTGGAAGAACCTGGGCCACTAGGGGAGTGGCTTCTCCCATGGGCACTGACTCTGGGGGTCCGGACCACGCACCACCCCACCTGGCCCAGGGACTTACTGCTTGCTTCCTGCTCTGACTCAGACTGGTGTGTGTGGGGGTGGGGTGGGGTGTGATGGGGTGTCTTTCTCCCTCTCTAAACCCACTTCCTTTACAAGTCCCTAAGTTTAAGCCCCCTCTTTCCCCGCCCATCTGACACCTACAGCCCAAGGCTGACCTGGGGGTCCTCAAGTGGACTGGGGTGAATGAGGCTCCTCACCCCCACCTGCCTGCCACTCCCTCCTCCGTCCCTGCAGGGTCCAACACAAGCCCTTTGGGGTCCAGCTGGGTGGGGAGGGGGATCACGGTGATAGGAAAAGACACCAGGACTAGGGGACATGGGAGATGCTGACATTTATTTGCAAAAGACACGTGGTGGAGAGGGAGTGCTCCCGCCAGGTACTCTGGGGCCCTCGCCACAGGCGCCACTGCAGCATGTACTCCTCTGCCCACTGGCAGGGGCAGGTGTGCCCATGCCTGGGGAAGCCCCCAGGCTGGCAGGAAAGTCCCCGTGGTGCCAGGTCCAGCAGGCAGGAGGTGGGAACCAGGCCTTCAGGCCAATCCCGCGTTTTCCGTGTCGGGGTAGTCTTGTGCCAGCACCTGCTCTTTGGAGGTGGCCTGGAGCAGGCAGGCGGGGCCGCAGCCGCACTGGTCCACGTGCAGGTAGCTGTGCTTGACCCGAGTGCCGTCGGCACACCGCAGGGTAACCTCTTCCATGTGCGTCTTGGTCTCCTGGCAGCAGGTGCAGTGGCGATCCATGATCTGGGCCCCCACCGAGTACCTGTGCACCGGAAGCTCGTCTCACTGTCCGCCCGCACGAGGCCCCGCCCCCACGGGTCCTCCCTCCACGCCCCGCGCCACTGCATCTGCCCAGGCGCTGGCTCAGTGTCTGCTGGAGGGGACAAGGTGGCTTTTCCGGAGGGATGGAGCGACCTGGGGAGGGAGGGAGGGTGGGCCTAGCTGGGGCGGGGTCTCACTCACTTGGACACCCCTTGGCAGACGCCCTCGCAGTAGGTGAAGTTCACGGCGCTCTCCGACTCGCAGTTCTTGAAGCGCAGAGCAGTGGCGTTCACACGCACATGACACCGGTCTGGGGGGCGCGACAAAGAGGCTGCTCACTGCTCCGAGTGACTTCGTGCATCCTCGGGCCCGCCCCCTCGCCACCCTGCCTGGCCCCGCTGCAGCCAGGCCCCGGGGAAGGCGCCCTGCGGGGCGTCTGGGTCTGAGATGGGGCTGGGCAGGCAGCGGCCCCCACTTACCCGATTCCTCCTCGCAGGTGAAGCAGCAGCCCACTTTCCTGAGGACCCCCTGCAGGGAGAAGAGGCGGGGGCATGGTGAGCGAAGCGGGGGCTGTGGCAGGGGCGGGCTTTCCCTGGAAGGTGACCCTTGGGCGCTAGAGGTGGGGCAGGGTGGTCCCAAGGCGCGCCAAGGGCGGGCCTCCAGGAGAGGCCGTGCGGGGCGGGAGTGGTCGTCCTAGGAGTCGGAATCCGGGATGGATTTGGCTCTGGGAGCCCAGGGACCCAGGGGGAGGAGGGGAGGGGAAGAGAGGGCGGGGCCTTCAGGGGGCGGGGCCTCGGGGCGGGGCGCTCGCACCTGGCAGTAGGGCACGTTGGGGCACTGCACAAACTCGGGGACCAGCAGGAAGCTCTGGTTTTCATGAAAGCAGCGGTACTGCGTGCAGTTGTCTGCGGAGGAGCTGACCCAGGTGTCATTGGGCTGAAATGCGGGTGAGGCGGCCGAAGCCGAGGGGGCCAGGGTTACCTCGTGGGCCTGCCAGGGCCTGCGAGCGGGTCTCTGCCAAGCCCACTGCCCCGAGGTTACCTGAAGGAGCTGCCCGTTGGGCAGGAGGCAGTGCGTCTGCACACATTCCCCGCAGCATTTGTCGGGCCTCTCCCTGTACTCTGAGCCCTGCCGGGGGACAGAAATTGGGGGGCGGGAGGTTAGGTCCTCCTCTGTGTAGATCTGCCGAGGCTGGGCCTCTGTCCATCCCTCGTCCCCCTCCGCTTTTTCCTGACGTCCCTGGTCCCCAGTGTCTGGTCTGTGGCATTCGGAGCTGGGGATGCCCTCAGCCTGTCTGTGTGGGCCCCCACCCCAGAGGAGGCACACAAAAGGCTCTTACTGAAAACTCAGCCCCATCCCCCCAGGGGAGCCACTGCAGGGGACTCTGGACCCAGAGACCCACCAGGGAGCAGGTGGTATTGCAAGTGTCCTGTTTACAATCCACAATGGGGGCGAGCTGGGCATCCACGGCCAGGCAGGTGCACGTATGGCAGGGTACATCCCCCAGGAAGACAGCGTTGATCTGCGGGGGGCGCAGAGGGTGACACTGAAGGGGCGAGGGGGAGCCACAGCCAGGGCCCCGCCCACCAAAGCTGGCCCATACCCATGCTGGAGGAGCTGCTGACCCCCAAACCCAGCATGGCAGCCAGTGTCTGAGACAGAGCCCTACCAGCTGTCCCCCAAAGCCACCACCCCATGTCCCTCGGGTGCCTTCCATGCCCCCTGACAGGCACAGAGTGTGGGCAGGAGCCCCTCTGCTTCCCTACCCTGTGGCCGAAAGGGTCATCAGTCAAACAGAGAAGAAGGACTCGGGGGGACCCCATATGTGTGTGAGGGGGGTCCCGCTTGCCCACCCACCCCTTGGACAGAGCTCAGTGCTGGGTGGGCAGCAGGTGCCCTTTCCTGTGGGAGGAGCTAGGGCTGCATCTCACCCCGTATTGGATCCCCTTGTAGACACAGGTCTCGGGTTCTGGAAGGGAGAACAAACTGAGTGCAGCCCAAGCCCAAGTGCCCAGCTGTCCAGCCCCACCGTCAGAGGGGCACCTGATGTCCCCAGTCCTGCCCAGCCAGGCCATGCCCAACCTGATCAGCACCTGCAGCCGAGGTGCCACGCCGGCGCCCCACTCACCACAGGTGAACGTGGCACAGCAGTCGCCTTCCTCCTGGGTCTGGACCAGCTTCTGTCCCCGCTCACACACAGGAGGCTTCTGGGAGCAGGTGGTCATGTTGCAGACTGCGGGCAGAGGGAGGAGCATTCACTGTGCAGGGACCACCAAGGGCCCCACCCCTTCCTGTCTCAAGCCCAACAATGCCCCATCCTAGCTCCCCTTCTGATTGGCCCCCGTGCCGGTGCCATGTGCCCACATTTTGGTCCCAAAGGAGCATTTTCTCCCTCGGGGGTCTGGCCCTGCACCTTGACTCCCAGTCCCTGCATTCCACAGCCCCAACTTTGCCAGGGCCGGCTGCCGCCTCCCTGCCCACCCTGTCTCTTCCTCCCTGCCCACCCAAGGGCTCACCGCACAGGATCTCTTGGCAGCAGGGGTTGTCGGCCTGGGGCCTGGTGATGCGCTGGAAGCCGTCTTGGCCGCACGTGCTGGGCTCCTCAGGGGGTTCACACTGCACTGGGTGGCACCACACGACAGACGGACTCCCCTGGCACTCACAGGCTTGGCAGTTACTGATCCACTCTTCCCCCGGCTGCAACAGACGCAGCTGGGT